CATTTCTTTTTAATATATATCTTGGACTCCTATTCAAGTTTTCATATTGTACCTATTATCTTGTAATTGTTAGTTTTTTTAATTTATTGTTTAAAGTATTGTCTAATTTATTCTTTGATTGTATTTAGGTTGATGATAAAAGTTTTTATATTGGATCTATTCTTGATTAGTCTGATTATAATGATATTTCTTTTTGGATTATCTAGAAAAAAGCAAATCATGACTTTTTTGTCTAAACAGAATAGGTTTCTTCATCTGATATTGTATCTGAGTATATAAATTTTGATAGTTTCCTATATATAAGTTCTTTTGGCTTTGATCTATACAAGTGTAATTGCCTTAATCATTTTTATGATTTTCTTTGTATTGTCAGGTCTAATCCATAGAAGAATTGAATTTTTCTCTAGATAGGTTAAAGTTATTTGTCTGTGTATCAATTTTATTTTGTTGATTATTCTCTCTGTTCTATTTGCAGTGGTCTTTATAATGATTATATAGTATTTGTTTAGAAGAAAAATATGTTTTGATTTAGTTTACCTAATGTTTTTTAGTTTGTTATTTTTTTTTCTTTTTGAATTTGCTTATGTTGAACTTTGCAATGGTTAGGATGCTCTATTTGAATATGTTTCACATTTTTTTGGATCTTAGTTTTCTTTGTATTATATATCTTTATTTATTTTTATAAACTCTTCTATAATTATTATAAATCTTTTTATTGCTTTTTTGAGTTGATATACTATAGATACTTATATTGTTATAATACCAATGAAGTTTATTCTCCTCACTATTTAGCTGGTATGTTTCAATTGTTGTAATATATATATAATTATTAGTCTTTATGAATGTGTTGTTAGTAATAAAAGCATTGATTATACTCTAGATAGGTTTTGAATATATTAATACAGTTGCAAGTATTGTTATTGATTCATGTGAACTCTTTAATTTTGGGATTTACATATTGAAAGATGTCCATAAGTCCTAAGTCTTGAATTGTTATAAAGAAATTGTTCTTTTTATAAATAGCTATTTTGTGTTCTGGAATATAGCAATCAATGATCTGTGAAAGTATTGTATTAAAGTCATCTCTCAGTATACTGTAATGTGTCAATTGTCATAGTTGTGCTACTTAATCCATTTGATAATTTGTTCTTGAACTGCTTTCTTATCCTATTCTGAATGTTCTAGGGAGTAGACTCCAATAATATAGATATATTGTTTGTTTGGGAATACTAGATTAATAAGATTAGTTTGCTGAGCTTCTTTTAAATATTGATACCTCTGTTTATAAAGAGTCTTTTGATAATAATATTGATATATATGTCTTTGACTTTATCTTTTCACCATGTTACATATTTTTTGTCTTTCACTTGTTTGATATCTTACTAATTCTATTAGTTTTTATGAAAATTACTATATCTCAATTAGTCTTTACTTATGAGTCTATCCATGTTGTTTTTTTTATTGTCATTGAAACCTTGACAATTGCAGGTTGTTACTATAATATATATTTTGTTGCTATAATATATTAAGGATTTTGATTCTGTCTAAATTTTTTTGTAGTATTTGGGTGTGTGTTTACTGTTATTAGAGAAGAATAATATATTGTTGAGTCGATAGTTTTTCCTTACATGTTGTTTATATTAATAATTATTGAAGTCTTGTCTGTTTGATTATTTCTGGGATCAAAATTGTTTTCATTACTTTATATATTATCCATTATTGATAGAATGGAGATTGTTAAGATTGTTTATTATTGAGAATAATGTTTATTATAGTAAGTACTAATATATTCATGATTTTGTTCATGTTTCTAATCAAGTTATATAGTAGTTGTTATTGATATTGGATGTTAATAACATTGTCCTACTTGGAAGTTTCTTGAATTACTTTCTGATTTCTTTGACTTGTGTTTTCCTCCATTTCTTCTATTTGATTAAAACAATATTATTCTAAGTTATCGATCCTACTATTCAAATTATTTAGTGATTCTTTGATGGCCTTGAGTTCAAACTGAATTTGTGTCAATATAGATGTAATGTTTTTAAGCTATTCAATTTATAGGAAGTTGAGATATGATTATGTATTTGATGTTTAGTACCTCTGTTTTTGACTGTAGTAATATATGATTCTAAGGATATTACATTTTGTTTTATTGTAGAATAGGTGAGTTTATAAATTCTGAATGAGCCAGCTAGTCTGAAATAGTGTCGTGTGTCACATAAGTGACATGATTTATATGTAATGGTCTAAAATCCAATAATCCAAAAGTCTGACATGAAAGATTGAATGTTGTAAGGTAAAAAACTATAGATTAAGACTCAGGTACTGATAAATGAACTATGTGTGTCTGATAAAGTATAAAAAGTTTAACAAAGTTTAGGGTTAACATAGATTATTATAAAGTAGATAGTTCATTGTTAGTTAGAAAAGTATAAATAGCTTATCAATATATAGTATACTGAGAAAGCAGTGCTAAATATATTAAAAACAACTCTCATTGTAAATAGAAATAAGAGTTAGTAATATATAAAAGAAATAGAATATGAATAAAGAGACACTTACCTTTGGTCAAATCAATTACCACACCTCTGCCTTTCCTAAGTGTTTTTTATAGAAGACGTTCTCTTCTTTGTATCAGTTATAAGTATTTGTGAGTCATTTGGATTATATGAAGTGCTATGAATTAGTGACAGACTCACTGAATTAGTTTATAACAATAGTTATAGTTTTTCAAATTTTTCTGCTTTTTTATGATTATATTATTTTTATTGTTCACTATATTCTTTAATAGTATAGTTGGCTATGAGGTACTAGAGATTATTGCAAATAGTGTAGAGCTTGATTTGAATGATTTTTGTTTTGATAATAGTTTCTTCAAGGTTAAATTGTTGTTCCAGAACCATATATAGCATTTTTTCAATGTTAAAACTAAGGCCAGCATATTTCTTGAGTTTGTATAATTAAAATAGAGAATGTAGCATATTTTAGCTTGTAGTTTTTGACAAATATGTTTCAGATTAAAGCTATTATATTGGGTAAAAGATTTATAAATTTGCAGGAGTATTTGCCCTTATTTTTTATCTGGTCTAGATCTTAGCAAGCATAAAAAATCCTGATTGAGTCAGTTTTGATAGGAATGTTCTATTTAGAAAGTAAATTGATCTTGTCTTCTTTTTATATAAATGTGATTGTTGTGGTCTATTATATTTGTTGAATAATTATCTTAATGATATTGATATAGCCAAATTTAATTAATGTTTGTTATATATCTATTAGTTTGGTGGTCAGGAAAATGTTCAAGATCTAATGCTGTTTTTTTTATTGAGTTTGTCAATTGTTTATTATATATGAGTTAATTGGTTATTTGTTAGTATATGATAAGGTAATATTGCTTACATCATCTATAACCTGTTAGTTACCAAAAATAATAATGATATATTTCTTATTTATTGATATATTTGTGTTATATACGGGAAAACCTTTTGAAAAGTTGAGTGTTTTGGTATATGAATTATTTTTTGATAAATTGATTATTCAGAAAGCTTTGCAATTTTGATAATAAGTTTGATTTTTTCTCTTCTATATCTTATTTAATAATTAAAGGGGACCTGGGCTGAGGTTTGATGCTTGAGAACCATGTGTGAATTTTCTTGCCTTTGTTTTTGTTCTTGTTAACTTTATATCAGATGTTTATTTTCTCTTTTAGTTTTTTGTTACAGTCCATTTTAATATCTAAGTTATTTATTTTGACCACTGGATGTAAAGTGTTTATAGTTTCCTTTTATGTCATTATACTAAAGATTTCTTTCTAATTTTGTTTGAGTTTGACTTGTTTGTTTTATATAGTACTTATCTGATTAGGTCCTTGATTTCTAATATATTTTTATTGAACACTAGTTTATTGTTTTCTTGATTATTATTTGTATTAATGAATATTTGTTAAGCTAGAAGTAGAGTGTAGATAGTCTTTAGTTTTTTGCTATTGTTGAGTTTTTTGTCTAGTATTAATATTATCTTGTCTACTATGAAGTTGCTATATCTTTGTTTAATTTCTTAATATTATAGTTTGGCCTGTTATTGGTATATTGAGGATGTATAGATTCTTGTATTTTGTTTTACTTTTTTGTTGTACCTTGAAGTGTTGTTGCATCACAGGTGAATAGAAAAGAATTAATATGTAATTAAAATAAATATAAGTAAAATAATTTAAATTTTAAGAATTTTTTATTTTAAATTATTATTATATAAATTATTTATAAGGTTTTTTTAAAAAAATAATAAACTTAAAGTGATATTGAAATTTAAATAATAATAAAAAATTGAAAAAAAAATTATTAAAGAAAATATAAAAAAAGATTCATTTTAAATTAATTTAATAATAAAAATATTATATAAAAATAAATTTATTAATTTTTTATTTAAATAAATTTTTGATAAATTATAGAAATAAAAAAATAAAAATAAAGTAAATTTAAATAGAAAAATTAAAGTAAGAGAAGGGAATCTTAAACAAAGATTAATAATTAATTACTATTAATATGAGTGAAATTAATTATATTAGAAAAAGGAATTAAAAATATAAGATATAAAAGATGATAAAATAGAAATGAGCTCAAGAAATTTTTAGATATAATAAGACAAATAAATAAAAAAAAGATATTCAATTTAAGAAAATTTATTTAAATCAAATTTAGAATAATAATTAAGAAAGAAATATTTGAAAATGAAGATTTCATTGAAAACTTAACAGACGGGATTAAATATTATATAAAATAATTGAATTTTAATTTTAATCTTTATTGAAACTTGATAATGATTTGCAATAATAATTTCCCTATAATAATATTTAATAATTGAAAGAGGTTTCATTTAATATACAGTAAAATAATATCAATTATCTGCGGTAGTAACCTGCAATCAATGGCATTAATTGTTGAAAGAACCTTTTCTAAACCATTAATGAAGCAATAAATTACTTTCAAAGTTATATTTAAACAAGTATGTATGGTTTTATAAATACTCATAAGCATTATTATGTTAACAATTACGGTATACTGTATATGGTATACAATGTTATTTTTCAAAAATTTCGAATGCTATAAAGATTGCGAAAATAATGGAAGGGGTTCTATCAATATACTGTGCATTATGTTTTGTTTAAAAAAAAAAAAAAAACAAGAGAATAAAAAGTGTCAAAAGCTTGCTATACAAGAAAAGTATATACTTGTTTTTGAAACTACAGATGAATGATATTTGCTATCAACCCATACTATGGATGAGCCAAAACTTAAACATAGCTTGCTAATTATCGAAAATGCTACTTTATAGTTTTGGGCGTTATCTTCATATTTCGAAAGAACATGCAAGCACTTGTGTATAATAGCATAAAAATAACAAAAATGTAACTATTCGTGAATGAAATAATATTTTTTTCCTGATAAATATGGTATTGAAATTAGTGAATGGTTATAACACATAAAAATTTGATGATATAAAAGTAAAAGATTTTTCTAAAAAAAAAAACATCAACGAATGGTTAGAGGTGAAGAGGAATTAAAAGTATGGTTTGGCTGACCACTTCTTTAGATATGAACCCGATAGAAAATATTTAGAAGTTATTTAAGGATCAAATTCAAAGGCGCAGATTTTTGTAAAATAATTAAAAGAAGAATGGGAAATTTTTGACATCCCCAGTATTAGAGGATATTAGTGTCATGTACAGTATATTATAAATTATGCATAAATAAAAATTTTTTAAAAAAAAAAAAACGGGTGATACTTTATACGGCGAATGTACTGTACGTACAGTAATGTACAGTATATCAAAAATCGTGTGCTCTTAAAACGGGACATTTCGACATGAGTAAAATTGTTCGAAGCCCCATCCCTTTACCCACTCTCAAATTTTGGTACAATGTATGTTTGCGCAGATTCAATGTTCCACACGTAACAAAAAAATCTATTAAAGGTAGGTAAAATAGTAATGCAGTATTTACTTGGCATTTAAAGGGTCATTTGCTTAGTAAGAAGATCATGTTTCCTTGTAATCAAGCTGTGTTGTACGTCGTAGAATAATACGCATTACGCAATCAACTTCCCGACGCATGATACCATGCTTTTGGTGATACCGGTTTTCTAATCATTACCAATGCAACAATCTTTGTGTAAGATAAAGACCATTTGTTCATCATTCACAAGCGATTGATGATGATAAGCTGTTAAATAAAAAAATCTAAATTTTTACTTGATGAAATAATCATTATAAAAAAAACCAAGTGGCGATATGGTGGTTCATATCTTATTATGAGTCAATCAATATATTTCACGAAAGAGGAAGCCACCTGATCACATGTGGCAAGACATTTAAAGGTCTTCCAAAAAAAAATGGGGATGGACGTGTAAAGAAGATCAACTGATAAACGCCTAGAAGCCAAATCTGCGAGAAATTAAGACAGATTCATCGATGAGAGCATGACAAAAACGCATGTTTACCACTAAATTTTCATACTGAATTCAATTGTGCCTACACTTACTTTAATGAGAACACTAAAGAAAAACATAATCAAATCTTATCGGGTAAAAGAGTTAAAAGGTTGGCTAGCGCAAACTTAAATGGAAAGATCTGAATTTGATGCAAACTTTATGGACCCAGTTATGCACAGGAAATTGACAAAAACAACCAGTTGTAATTTGGTGACACATAAACGAACAAGATTTGTGTTATTGACTCGTACTTCATCAAAGTGTATTTATTTATCCAATAATCTCGGCTGCAGGAGGACGACGCGCAGGTTCACTTGAAATGTTGTCTAAGGAGTGCTTGCAAGATATCAAGTTCGATTGAAACCGTGTAACGAAGCTGATCTAGATGAAGGTTGTCGTTGAGGGATGATAGCATTCGTTCAATATGTCTGATCATTTAAGGGCCAAATTCGGATGGGCGGGATTTTCAAATTTCCATTTTTATGTAATTATTCTGAATTCAGAAAGGTGTAACTCGATTTCCTCACGCACGCACAAAATTCGGATGAGGGTTTAGAGTAAGATCGCCATTAATTACTAGGATTTCCATTTTTAACGCTCTGAATTCAGAACAACCTATAACGAGAAATGACTGAATTCAGACTGGAATACGCTCATTCCCTACAACCGGAACACTTTTTCAGACCTCTAAAAATTATATAAATAACATAAAATTTCATTTAATTTTATAGCACTGCAGAAATTATTATCCAAGAAGATGTCAGATCATCAAACTGTCTGTGAGATTTCAAAAACCAACTCCACGGATCGTAAGGCTTCTCTTCGATCCAAGCAAAATCAAAGGTATTACCGTCATCACAAGAATGAAATCCTGGCTCGCCGCCGCTTACTTCATGATCGTATTGAGCAACTTGAAACCTTCATTAAAGATAATGGTTTGGTTCCCCCTGATCCTCGTCGACTTAAAAGTGACGCGTTGGTTCCTTCCGGTTCTCGTTAACGAAGCTTTGGCCTAGGTCATCCTATATTTGTCACGTGACCAGGCGAAATTGTATTCGTGTAACAGGATACTGAATTCAGCATGCACTATAATTAGTTTTAACACCGAGAATTTTTAAATACTGAATTCAGTATTTACTTTTTCTTATATTTCTTAATTCAGAGCAATTTTATTATTTAAAGGTCATTACCCTTCTCCATGATTACTTTTAAGTTTCATTTATGATCCTTCGTTCTCCTGAATGCCACCCAAATCCGCTAGTAGAAAACACTCCATTAATAAAAGTTCTAGGTCCAAGTCTACGGTTAACCGTGATTATTATGAAAAAAATAAAGATAGACTTAAAGAAAAAAGAGAAAAAAAAGCTTCCGTTAATCAAAAATTGCTAAACCGTGTCAGGCAACTTGAAGAATTTTGTAAGGACAATGGGTTAGATCCCCCCGCTTGTGATTCGGATTCCGATTATACTCCTGCCGACCCCTTCGTTTTTCACTACCAGACTTTCCAAATGTAAGCCAGTATTCGTATTTTATTTCATTTTATCTTTTTCTTTTTGCTTGTCACCTTTATCTTTATTCATTTTAAAAATTTCTTTTCTCCCTAGAGACGAGGAAAAGCAGATCGACGAAACATTACACGAAACCATTGATCTTAATTCCGAATATTATACACTTCTCCCTACACCTATTTTAGACTCTAATATTCACGTCCCTCCTGTTCCTCTATTTTCCGAATTGCCACCCACCAATTTGCCCAATGAATGGATTCCTTCTCCTAACGTCTCGGAGTCTACCTTCGACGTACTTCTTTCCATGTTTTCACAAGAGGTTCCATTTTTCAACCAATCTCCTCACATTTAAATATGTGATGTAGGTTTTGTTCGGCTATTTCAATATCAACATCCGTGAATATGATTTTATTTATCAGCCCATCACCTCCTCATTTTCTCAGATGCCAACACGCCTGGCGTAAAAACCTATCTTTAAAAAATCTATGCAATCAAGTTTATTACACCACCAAGCCGATACATGTATGATTTGTATGACGAACACATCTAGTGTAAGCTATTGCGCTGCGGCAAAAAATATATACTGTATATATATACTGTATTTTTGAAATGCGACCAGCCGTTCCAGAGGCAACCTGTGTGACAGGAAAACAAGGCTTGGGCAACTCATCAATTTTTATGCTGGCAAAATGAGGCCACTCTATTTCTCGATGATATCGGCGATACAGTTTGAGACAAAATTTTGCCCCCCCCCCCTTTTTTTAAAAAAAAAGAAAAGAAAAAAATATCTAAAATTTTGAAAAATATGTCCTCGAACACTGCATCTTAGAAATAAGGCTACCTAAGATTAATTTATTTATTTATGATTCTTATTGCTGTAAATATATTAAATTTTAAAAAAGAATTTATTTCTTGTAATATTTTATGTAATGTATAAAAATCACGTAATAGTTTATAAAGATAATTACATTTAAATATTTTGCTCCCTCGGTGTCTTTCCGTTTCGACGTGAAAAACCAATCGTCATACCGCATTTACATTATTTCCTTGATGTACACGATTGATCACTTACTGTATATACTGGTTTCCTAATTCAAGATATTTTTGACGCATTTTCGGTGAACAATGCTTTGAAACGTATTACTATAAGCGGGAAAAAACAACGGATTCGTGTTGTACCGCATATCACTTTTACTGTAATTTGGCTAAAACACACGAATTTAAAATTCCAGGTGCGATCAATTGAACATGACCGTGCACTTGTCACAACGTATTAGGTGTTTGGTATACCGCCCTTAACGTGCAAGGGATTTTGAGTATGGCTGTGTATCCCCCCCCACCAACAAACGTCTACGTAGTACTTGAGTTTTTTTGTTTGTTTGTTATGGGATCAGGCGACTAGTCTCCCCCCCCCCCCAGGCACGGGTGGCACACGCATTCCCTATAGTTTTCTCACCGATTTTTGCCATATATTTGGAACAGTCCAAATAATGATAGCCGTACTCCCCTACCGAATGATTAGCATGTAAGCCAGAGTTTCGTGAACTAGTAACGGCTCGGAGAAATAAAGCTTGGTTGATGCGTACAGAATGGATGACGTTGTTGAATGGGAAAATGCATGATCATGGTGTGACGTGACGGACAAATCAATTTAAAAAATGTCATTTGAACGGGTTTAATATTCCTCGAGGGAATGTATAAAAGGAGCAAACAAAAAATAAACGCTGGTCGATAGTAAAATTCCAAGGTAAATGCCATCTTTTATAAACCGCAAACCTAATATACAGTATTTTTAGAACGGAGTGTGGAAAATAGCTTTAGAAAACGGCTAATAAGAACGACACAAGCCCTCCTGCCCGAAACAAAAGAATTAAAAAAACAAACAAGCAAACAAAAACGTGCCCTCACATCCTATTGAAAAACACCAACTTTAGTATAATGAACACAAGACTGAGTGATTGTGGCGAGGTTTGTATTCTGATGACCGGCCACAATGACCTCACCTCCTTACTTGATCAAAATTCAGTATAAATGTATGATTTCAATGGGAGAAACATTGTTTATTCATTATGAATAGTTACTGTTGCTTTTTCAAAGGATCTATGGACTTTTTAATTGGTCAAAGAAAGTGTGACCCCACTTTCTTAAATTTTATATTCTGGAAGATCATGTTCTTTTCACTTGTTCCACCTGCGACAGCACCCATGGTCGATGAGGATTATTCATCTCAACAAGATGTCTATGATGCAGTCCTTAACACATTTTTTCCGATCACTTTCGTGATTTTGTTCAATATCTCGAATGAAACTAAATCCGAGGGCACGGAATCTAGGCGCTCTTGGTTCGTGAAAAATAATCTGCTTCCGTTACTGGACGACATACTATACAACACGGTCACTTGGGTGATTCCACTGATAGTTTCCTATGCCTATAATGATGCTTCGATTGTAAAAGTGTTTTCGATCATAAATATGTTTTTGCATGTATCTTGTACATTGTTCACGTTGTATAAAAACAAAAGAGTAAAGGACGTGGATATGAAATTTTCTGGTGCAAATTATTTCGTTTGTGGTGTTCTCACCTTCCTGATCATGTTTCCGGCCATCGTCATTCCAACATTCTGGATCTTCTATATTCTAACATCGCATTCTTTTGATTCAATTAATATGATATTCCTCGCATTATTTGGGTCGTTATTAATTCCAACGATTACTCTCCTTATATACTTTTGTAATCCACTACCTAAGTTGAGACTTAGTAGATTTATTACATTTATTAGGATTTTAATTCCAATTTGCTTTTATGCTCCAAATATTTTTCAAACGATATACATTTTGTTACGATGGCCAATCAATTTCTATTTCGTCAAAGCCTGTGTGCTTATAATGGCTCTATCTTTAACAAGAAATGTATCTTACCTTACCGAAGGTCCATCTCCCGACTTTTTGGCCACTTCAACAACAATTGTTCAATCATTCATAGGATTATATTTTTCCAAAACTTAATGATACAAGAGCTTTTTTGGGTGCACCATTTTTTCTTTTTTTTTTTTTTTTCAGTATGCAGTAACATTTATTTATATTGCTATTGAGTGAAATTATCAACTATCACTTGTCATTATTCTAAAAAAAAAAAAAAAAAAAATGCTCGTTTTTATGCTATTTGGTATCTTCCTGACTTTTTTTCTTTCGTGTTTTGAGTACTCTGTATAACAGTTCCATTTTTTGTTGTTCTATTAGTATAGCTTTGTGTGGATTATTATTTGTTTCGATTTCTTGCTCCATTATCCAGTATATGCGTTGCTTCTTTATAGCAGCTGATATTTATGCATTCGGAACTATCATGTTTGAATTGACACCAGGCATTACTCCTTTCCTCTGTATTCCCCTCGCAATAGAAATATACAAGGGTGGACGATCTAGAATTCCAAGAATCTGCTTTAATAGTCGAATCGATGCGAAAATGTTTTTTAAGAGTGCGCGTATTATACTGTATAAAAAAAATTAAAATAATAAAATAGTTATAATGTATACAGTATATATGACATGTGGAAATACATCATGCCACATTTCGGTTAATTTCGCTATTGCCATGTTCTGCGGCTGGCTTGCATAAACCCAAATCGGCTATGTAAAGTGCTGTACCCTTTTCTTTAACACCAGATAAAAGAAATATCCCGCCATGAAAATCCCCGGTGAACTAATTTAGCTCCGTGCATTTGATGATTTGACATAACCCTTCGGCGATTCGTCCTAAAAGGTTATCATCTTCCGTCAATTGCATCCTCATGTTACGTGATTATACTGTATAACGTTATATTTAAGGTTTTTTTCTAAACCATAATATACGAATTAACAATGTACATTTGAGAATTGTAGCCACCTCGTTAAGAGCTCACTGAATTTTTTTCTTTTTTTAGAAAAAAAATAATAAATTAGAAAAATTAAAAATAATAAAAAATTTTTTGAAGTTACTTTAGCGCAAC